TTCTGTTGACTTCAGTGGAAAATCTACCCAGCGTGCTTCTGTTTGTTTAGTGTTTGTATTGGGAACTTTACCCATTAGCAGCTATCTGCAAATACCTCTTCAGAGGATTTATATAAACATGAAGGAATCTTAACAGCATGTCTTGGAGTTGGGCAGATAATTAAATATTATTAACTCTGTTTTATGGGGATCACTCTTGGGAGGTGCCAAGCAAAGAAATCAATGGGAGTTGAGGATGCTCATTACTTAGCAGGATGAGCCTTCAGATGGTTAATCTGAGACATACAAGGATGAAGTGACTTGTCCAAGGCCATATGGGAAATGAATCCTCTCTGCAGATCTTTCAGTTGCTTATTTTCAGGTCAGTAGGGAGTTGGGTTTGTGCAGAGAATAGGGTGATTGAACTCCAGTTGGGAGAATGTGGGGACAGTAAGGCTGATTGCATTTAGGGATATGTGGTGTCATCGTTTCAGAATATGTCGTCTCTGAGTTGTCTCTTTTTTCATCTCTGTCCCTGTCTCTCTCGCTGGAGTGAGTTAGAGCTAGGCTGCAGTTGATAGTGGTGTTTAGTCACAGAAACGTATGATGTACTGAGCTTTTTCTCTCGTGTCTTCTTCACAAAAGGAGACAAGGCTGTCTACTTACAATTCAGCAACTAAGCTTATTCATGACCTATAAGCTGCCTTCAGAAAGAATGATGATCCTTTCTGTGCACTGAGACTGGCACTTTTTCTCTTCACTTGAGCACTGACATCTTACCTGTCACCTTGGTTGGCTGAGAGTGTGTCCTCTGATGTTACACCGATGTCTGCAGAAACTGGATTAAAATAGGCATAGGCTTCTATTGTGCGTAGATTGCACAGATGTTCACTAGCAATGAGAACACGGAGCCTTCTGAGAACTCTGTCGGTGGTAGCAGATTGAATCATAGGCACTTATAAAGGATCCATGTGTCCTAAAGCTGTAGCAACATTATTATTTACTGTAGAGTTCCATTTTGGAGAAAGAGGGGAGAGAGAATCCAAATTAGCATGCATTTCCATGTTTCAAGACACAGAAAGGTTAGAGATCTCCCAGGTAAGCAAAAAATTGCCATGACTTTGCAATGACTGTCTGATGTGAAATTGTGCTAAAGCTTAATTAAGAGATTGGGCTTCCCTGAGGTTTTGGGGTGGAGTGTGAAGCATTTTTTAGAGAACAGTTATTAAATGTGTCTAAAACTTCTATGATTTTGAGAAAGATAGTATCTAGGATACCTCTCTAGTCTTCTGATTATGCTCGAGTAGTTCCCTGAGAAGGGAAGAGATTTCATTGCCTTTCGTTGCCTTGCGAATATTTGTGTTAATGAGAATGTTCCGTGTCATTTCTGCTACGACCAGTTGTTTAGTAAAGAAAATGTTGCTTGCAGTCATGAAAAAAGAAAATGGAACATCCAGTATTTTAAAATGCCTGCTTATGCCTGATGTTTATAAATTGTTTTATGATTTGTGGTTTATCCTTTAAGGAAATTAGGAAAAGTGGATCATGTAAATAGATTTGCATATCACTCGTGCCTATTTAATATGGGCTTATAAAATAGAAATGAAATTAGGGTAAAAATTTTGGCTAGATAATTAAATACGTAACAGAGGAATATGTTAGCTACTGCTATGCTATGCCTTTCTGCTGCAGCTCCTTGTCAATACATTGTAAAATAACTCAGGCCCTCAGGGCCCCCTCTGAGAACTTTATGAGTTACGGAAGGCAAGAGCTATGGGGCTAGTTACGGATTGAGTGAAATCTGTTCTGAGGACCACCTGCTCCAGAACTCAACATTTCTTCCGCCATGTGGGTTTAAAGGAAACCTAACACCACGATTTTGGTGCTTTTTTAATTTAATTTGCAAAATAGACATGCAGCGGATAGAGTTAATACTGGTTTATCCACCAAAAATTATGCATCAAAGACAAGCTGTCTCCAGAACTAACTGACTGAGGACAGAGGTGGATTGAGACTGCAGTGCTAGTCTATCAGAAAGGCAGGAAAAAAACGTGCGTAAGATTTATAGGATACACCATGCCAAACTTAAGAGTGAGAGGAGAAAAAAAAAACTCCTGGCAAAACTATGTAAATCCCTTCTATCCTGGGGTTTGTCTGAGAATGACAACATATTCCCATCTCTCGCAATTTGTTCAGAGCCACTGCAGCCATCCAAAGTTCACTTTACATCAGCGGGGCACTAACGGTTACTTCCAAACTCCATGATGATCAATTTTGATCTAGCTGCTGCTTAAAGAAAAAGTGCCGAGCAGGATGACCGGAGCAATTATAGATAGCTACAGGCTCGTTCTCTGCAACTATCCTTATAATTCAATTTCAAACATTCCATTAGTCTTCGTGGTAGTAATAAGCTTTGCCGGCAGGAGTTCAGGCAGACAATATTGCTTTTCATTTCAAAGTAATGCATTAGATTTTTGAACCATAGGATGTCTTCAGAACAATGGTCTTACTTTCAGGAAGAAATGTTTTAAAGGGGCTAAAAGGAGGGCAATATGCATTCAAGCTACATAGGTTGAACTAAATTCAGAAGGGAGTCTAAGCTAGTAGTGTAAGTTACACCTTCCAGTCCCATCAGCATGTATGTATCACCTACCGAGAGCCACATTCACTTCAACGTAAGCTTGGGCTAGGTCTACACTACGGGGGAGGGGTCGGCCTAAGATACGCAACTTCAGCTATGTGAATAGCGTAGCTGAAGTTGCGTATTTTAGGTCGACTTACCTGGCTGTGAGGACGGCGGCGAGTCGACCGCAGCCGTGCCGCCGTCGACTCCGCTTCTGCCTCTTGCCGCGGTGGATTTCCGGAGTCGACAGCAGAGCCATCGGGGATCGATTTTATCGCGTCTTCACTAGACGCGATAAGTCGATCCCCAATAGATCGATTGCTACCCGCCGATCCGGCGGGTAGTGAAGACGTGCCCTTAGTCTACACTTAAAACTTATACCAGTGTAGCTATTTCAGTTAGGGATGTAAAATGTTAACTGGTGAACCAGTAAGCATCAGTCTTACCGGTTAACCGCCTTAATCATTAACCTCAGCGGCCCCGCGCCAGCTGGAGCGGGCCCAGCCATGGCCCCTGGCCAAAGCGTCCAGAGCAGTGCCACCTGGCCGGAGCAGGCCCAGCCTCTTAATCCGTTAACCATTTAAACAAAATGCTTTTAATCATTTAAACAGTTAACTTTTTAAACGGTATTTACATCCCTAATTTCAGTCAGGGATGTGAATGTTTCTGTCAGTATAGCCAATGTCATTTGGGGAGCTGGTGTTCCTACGTTAGCAGAAAAACTCCCGTTGGCATGTGCTGCATCTATACTAGGTGGCTATGCTGATGTAGGCTGTGCAACGTAGACATAACCTTACACTTGACAGAGTCTTTGGACTACTACAGCCATGTCAACCCCCATAGGGTTGACCACAACCAGCTGACATGACGCACTCTCTACAGTAGGTGAAACATCCTGTTAAAACGTGTTAGCCAAGGCTTTTAAAACATGACCTATTTACCTAGGCTTGATATGGCCTTCATTTAACTGAGTCTAACTGAGGGGCAAGGGGAAAGGAATGGATTGTTATCAGGATTTATTATTATTAATTGTTCACATTTCATTAGCACCTTGGGGCCCCAATCAGGATCAGGACCCAAGATATAACAAGTGGGTGCAAACAAATAGAAGGCAGGAGGGAGGGAGGCCCTGGAAAACAGCATTAGGAACTCAGGTTTATACGAATGAGCAAGCTATGTACACAGCTGAATGGTTTCGGATCAGTTAACTTTAAAACAAAATTACAAAATATAAACCAATTAATATGATAAACCTTAGAAATCCCAAAGTCTAAACAGCTCATAGACTTTGGGAACTGGGCCTGACCTAGGAGTTTGGTCAGCAATGCTATGGGAACCTGTGGTCAAGGACTTCACCTTGAACTCACTCTAGTTTCTCTTTATTTCTATTGTAACCGTTTCTGACTTTAATGCCTTATACTTGTACTCACTGGAAACATCTCTCCTTGTAGGTAAATAAACTTGTTTTATTCTTCAACCAATGTTGTGAACTATGTGGGTAATTCCATTTAGGGTGGCAAACTGTTGTATATTGAGCCTCTTAGAGGGGCAACGGACCTAATCTATCTGGACTGTCTTGGAGAGGGTAAGAGAGTGCAGAACACGTGGTTTTGGAGGAAATTCCAGGACTGGAAGCATGTTGAGGTCACCTTGCAAGTGGTAGCCAGGTGGTGGAAGTCAGAACGTGACTGATGTGTGGCTGGCAGGCTGCAGCTATACACAGATGGGCGGGGGGCAGGTGGGGATGACCTGCGTGCTTGAAGACTGTTTGTGAGCAGCCCATTGGGAGCTACATCAGCAAAGCATTATGAGGCACCCAAGGGTGCAGCACAGAGGTGACCCAGCCCCTCACTGGTTTGGATTGTATCCCGGAATGTCGTAATATCACATTATGTAGTATTATTAATATTTATTATTTAACATGTATATTGTGGTAGCACCTAGAGGACAACTAATCGAGGGCCTCACAAAGATATAGTGACTGACAGTCCTTGCTCCGAAGATCTTATCACAATAGGCTTAATGCAATTGAAGTAATTTCACATGTAAATTACACAGTCCTTTTAATTAAATGCCCCTGAGCTCTGATAGAATTTACAGGTGCTTGATGGATTGCAGTATGGAATTTTAAACTCTCCCAGTTTGTGTGCATGGAGCGTGTCTAAGGATTGTAACCCTCTTTGTGCTCTTTAAATTGGTCAGCACAATACTGCCTCGGCTAACTATTGTTTTCCATGGCTCAGATTAATTCTAGGAGGCCACAAGCAGATAACTCACAAGAATCACCAATTCTTCCCTACCCCATATCTCTTCCACACACATGCCTAAATTGTATTCAAATCCAAAGACTGTTCAGGAAAGAACCAAACCATCCTGAATTGTGTTTTCTCTCTTCCAGCCACTTCTACATCGACTACTGGGACAAGTCATCTCACAAAATGTGACATAAAGCAGAAAGCGTTCTGTGTCAATGGGGGAGAGTGTTACATGGTCAAAGACCTTCCAAACCCCCCCAGATATTTGTGCAGGTAAGAAGCCTTTGGCTTATTTTAGTGGAGCCACCATGTTTCTCATGTACTTTTTCTCAAAGTAACTGCTTTAATATCTGAACAGTTCTTTCTCCCACAAATGGCCCAGCAGATATTTAACAGAAGCATTAGATGTATCTTCACCTTTGTGTGGCAGAGAACTCTCTAGCTATTGAGAATGACCTCTGTGTAACAGCGCTTGTGTTCATTGCAATGTTAACTCGAAGTATAACTTGAGTTTTGCCCCTAACCTGACTCCCACCCCCACACAGAATCTCTAGCTCAAATTAAGGGGTGCTCTATATTCGAGCTAGCTAGCCTGTCCGGGGGGTGGAGAATGAGGGAAGGGGGTGAAGCCTGAGTGGTTTGTCGATACTACAGTCACGGTGTGTGATTGTAGCTCATGTAAACATATCCAAACTAGCTTTAATCTCACTAGCTCTGGCCCAGAGCAGAGAAGCCGCTTGACACCCTTGAGCTAATTATGCAGTGGAGATGCAATAGCTCAAGTGACAACAACTCATCAACCGCTAATCCAGTCACTGTGCTGCTAATCCCATCACTCTGGGTAGCTGGAGTGTTGTTTCACAGTGTGGTTGGTCTCACTTGAGAGGCTAGTCTAGACTAGTGGAATAACTCAAGTGTACTCACCGTTGCAATGAAGCCAAGTCTATAGATAGCTCACACAATAGTTATTAAAACTCCACAGATGGTTTCATAATACAGACAGAGCTATGTGCCCAGCTGGCATTTGGATACCCTGAGATAACTATTATTTGAAATCTTGGCTGTTAGATCTTAGAGGATAGATATCACCGGTTAAATATACCCCCAGATAATGAAAAGATACATTGTGGAATAACTGTCAGATATAGCACATACTGTATAGCACATACAGTAGTTCATTTTGATTAACATGTTGTAGTAAAATAAATGACTTATTAAAGATCAATTAAAATATTATTTAGAAAACTTAGTGCTGCCAGAAGATGTTTTGTTTTGAAGTTAGGTGACTACAAAGTCACCGTGTCTAATGAGGTCAAATTAATAACAGGAGTTATTACTTTGTTAAATTTCAGGTTTCAGAGTAGCAGCCGTGTTAGTCTGTATCCGCAAAAATAACAGGAGTACTTGTGGCACCTTAGAGACTAACAAATTTATTAGAGCATAAGCTTTCGTGGGCTACAACCCAATAAGCAATGTAGATTGCCACCTGAACTTATCAGTGGATGTCAGTGTTTTAGATGCAGTGCCTTGATTCGGGAAAGCACTTAAGAATGTGCTGACGTTGAGCCGTATTCAGGAATTCACTCAAGCACATGCTTAGCCTTGAAGTGCGTACCTGAGCACCCTTCTTGAATCACGGCCTAGTTTCTCTATCACAAACAAACCCAAATCATAGCATACATCAGCCCATTATTCTGCAGAAGATCCAGTATAAATACAGTTGCTGTGGCTGAAGCTTTGCATCTTGCTGTAGCACATTGTACAACAGGTACCTTCGGGGCTGTAGTGGTGCTGATAACAGACCAGAGCTGGATGCAACCGAGTGCTCTAAACTCTCACTGACTTCAACACGTGGCATTCAGTATCCTGCAGAATTGAACCATAAGGGAACTTTTCTCTGTAAGAATATTGGCATTTTCAAGAGAAGCAGCAGAAGCTAGTCAATAAGATACACAATCTGGTGTAATCACATGAATTTTCAGTCTTATAAAGGCTAAAAATCAAAACCCAATAATTGCTCTTCTACAACATCATGTAAAGTGAGGGTGGAGAGACACCTTGCTTTCACATGGAAAGGAGAAGATAGGAATTGCTTCCAGGAAATACCGGCTGCACTCTAGTGAAACACTTTCTGTTCACTTCAATTTCGCCGTTTTCTATGGATCTTACCTACAATTAACAAGATTCGTTTTTTCACAAATTCCCCGACTGCTGGAATCATGACTATTTATTCTATGGCTGTTTATAACCATTTTCTTTAATGTAAAAGTACCAACTTTGTTTTTGGACAATTGTACTAAAATTACATGATCATCATAACCAAGCAGTGCAAGATGACCCCATTTTAATACTACACCCCTGGGAACCTACCAGAAACCAGCTCCTGTGCTTCCACTTCTTCATTTCCTCCTCGTACCCCATTCAGAACATTTCATAGCAGCCCAATGGCTGTGCACATAACACATTTGCTGTGTGCATAACATTTTTACTATTAACTGGTATTGCACTGTTGAATTTAGAGTCACCTCTTTTTCACTGTATCTCAGGCCATTTTTTTTAAATTGCCAGATCTGACAGTGTTTGCTCTTTATTATTGTAATTTTATTTTTTGTTAAATATCCCAGGCCCTCTTAAATGATTTTTTTCCATGTAGAAAAGAAATAATTATTAAATCTAGAATCAGAATGAAAACAAAAATAACTCCCCAAAATTTGTGCAGGGCACTTTTCTGGGTAGCACAAGAAATATCTGGAGAAGTCATTATAATGTAAAATCACAGGGCTTGATTCTTATTTATACTAAAGCGGTGGAAAGGGACCTCACTATAAAGGAGAGCTAAGCTCACAATTAGTTTGCAATGCTTCTGCTATGTCACTTTGATATTTACCAGCACTGAAGCTGTTTATACTGTAACAAAACAAGACACATGTCTCTGCGATACAGACACATGAGAATCTGAATTGTGTTTTATTGGGTACATACTGCAAATCGGAAGAAACAAAATAGCATTATTTTCTTGCATGGTTAAAGATATGGATGTCTATTTTAAAGTGTTTGTTAAAACAGATATCTGTCAAGGACACATTGCTTCCTTCTACTGTGATAACAAATCTTTTTCCAGAATGTGCCCATGGAATCAGAAAACTTGAAAGATGGTACTTGCTCTTCATGTTTCTGCCTTGGTAGCAAGTTCACATTTTCCATATGCTCCATCTGTGGAGAGCAAAAACAAAATTTTTAAAGCATGAGTCTCATTGTTCTAAATTGTTTTTATCACGAATCAAAAAACGTGACTCCAATGCACAACCACCATGGAATTTTCCAGGCAATGTCTCTGGTCATGTAAGCCCCTGTGAACCTGTCTCCTATTACTAAAGTCAGAAGTTGTGCAATCAAAAGTGATTTCCAAAAAACTGAAGGTGTAATAATTAACACTGTGTCACATTTTGCTTTCACTGATACTAGTATAAATTTTGAGCAAAATGATTGTTTCAGAGATGTTTGCTAGTTACCTGGATTTATTTCTGAGATGTGTACATATCTACAATGGACTGTGCCTGAAATGTTGCATAGAGCGACATCTACAGTGGTACACTGTTGTATACATTTCTCTTTTGTGTAATCTAATTACAATCCTGGACTAAATAGAATAATCTCAGTCTAAAAAAGAGGGTTTGGAGGGGTTTTTAAAGAGACATTGGGTAAAACTTTGTAAAGTGCCTAAATGAGAAAGGAGTCATTTTGAAAAGTGATTTAGGCACTTGGGCCCAGGTCCTCAGAGATATTTAGGTGCATAACTCCCATGGGAGCTAGATGCCTACACACCTTTGAGTAGCTGGGCCTCGGAAGCCTACACCTCATTGGATATGTCTACACAGCAATTGAACACCCATGGCTGACCAGGGCCACCTGGTTTGAGTTCGCGGGGCTCAGGCTAAGGGCTTGGGACTCCACAAAGGGAAAGGGTCCCAGAGCCCAGGCTCCAGCCTGAGCCCAAATATCTACACAGCAATTTTTAGCCCCACAGCCCGAGCCCCGTGAGCCTGAGCCAGCCACATCCATGTCATGGGTCTTTTATTCCAGTATAGACGTACGCGTTTCCTTTCAGTAAGATTTAGGGCATGCCTACTCTGCAGTCGGAGATGCGATTGCAGCTGGAGTAGGCATACCCACACTGGCTTTCATCTGGGTAGTCTGGCTAAATATAGCAGTGAAGACAGGCTGGCACAGACCCTGGCATGGGCTAGCAATGTGAGTAGACACCTACAGTCCCAGGCAGCCTTGTACAGCCCATGCTGAAGCTGTGCTGCCAGGTCTTCGCTCCTATTTTTAGCATGCTAGCTAGATTAAAGCAAGGCTGGTATGTCTACGAGCAGCAGTCACACCTTTGACTGAAGTGCAGACATAAACTTAGGCTTCTAAGTGCCGATATCACTTCTGAAAATGGGACTCATGTTTATACTACAGTATCACAGCGACAGAGCTGCAGCTGTGCTGCTATAGCGCCTTACTGTGGATTGATGAAACAGCTTTTTCCATCGCTGTAGTTAATCCACCTCTCCAAGAGGCAGTAGCTAGGGTGATGGAAGAATTCTTCTGCTGACCTAACCTTCTCCATAATGGACGTTAGTTCAACCTAACTATGTTGCACAGGACGCAACGTTTTTCACCGCCCTGAGCAATGTAGCTAAGGCAATATCATTTTTAGGTGTAGCCCACACTTTAGGCTTTTGAAAATTTTACCCAAAGTCTAATAGTGCCAGACCATGTGGTACACCTCTACCCCGATATAACGCTGTCCTCGGGAGCCAAAAAATCTTAACGCGTAATAGGTGAAACCGCGTTATATTGAACTTGCTTTGATCTGCCCGAGTGCGCAGCCCCCGCCCCCCGGAGCTCTGCTTTACCGCGTTATATCCGAATTCGTGTTATATCGGGTCGTGTTATATTGGGGTAGAGGTATATTTTGACAATGTTGTGAAAAGGAGAGTGGTTAGCAGCTCTCTCTTATTTGGAGAAGACTCTATATAGTATTCTTCATGTTTTTGCAAGCCCTGTTTTGAACAGTCTTTCCATAACCCATTTTTGATTATGCTGATTTGATATTTCCTTAGTAACACACCACACAATTTGTGTTGCCTTTGCTGCTGTTCTTCCCTAAAAGTGATTTTATGCTACAGCTTCGGCGGTTGAAAACAGTGCTTCTTTCTAGCAGATAGACATTACTTAACCTTGCTTAACAGCAAAAGAATGAATTTCTTATTTTTATAATTTTCTATATCCTTGTTTGCAAATGGAATGGGTAGAGTAGGAATTAATTCATGTGATGATCCAGAAAACTGTTAATTGAGGGGGGGAAAGGGAAGCTTATTACAGTGCTAACTGAAAGGTTTGCCAAGTCTGAGTGGGTCAAGAGGCAAGATAGTGTTCACAATTCTGAACTAAGCAGTTAAAGGCACAGTTCTTACAGTGATTCATGTAAATGATAATAAAATAGTCCCGTGCTACCTACCTGTCCTACATATTTGCTTATAGTAAAAGGACTCGTTCTTGATCTTCTCTATTAATATGTACAGTTTGTCAAAACATGGAGACTAGTCTTTTTACAAAATTAAAAACCACTAAACACAGAAATCATCAGGGATTAGAAAAACTTTGACATTATTCTTTTATCTGATCAAAGAAAGAGCTGTGGTCCTGATGATTTAAGCCATCTAATTTATTTAATAAATAGTTTGTATAGCCTCTAATTAGCCAGTAGGGAAGATACAGGCCCAGAGTAATTTCTCAGTTATACCAGGGTAAATCCAGAGCAGCTCTTATCCTCGTTGGCCGTATTCTGATTTACACTGGTGTAACTGAGGGCTGGTCCACACTAACCCCCCAGTTCGAACTAAGATAGGCAACTTCAGCTACGTGAATAACGTAGCTGAAGTCGAAGTATCTTAGTTCGAACTACAAGGTACTTACCGCGGGTCCACATGCGCAGGCAGGCTCACCCATCGACTCCGCGTACTCCTCTCGCGGAGCAGGAGTACCAGCGTCGATGGCGAGCACTTCCGGGATCGATTTATCGCGTCTAGACAAGACGTGATAAATCGATCCCAGAAGATCGATTGCTTACCGCCGAACCCGGAGGTAAGTATAGACGTACCCTGAGCGTGGACACTGCCCATATATAGAAAAGGAAAGAACTGAAAATGCTATATGGGTAACCAAAAAAGAGAGTGATGACTAGTGACAGTGTTGTAGAAATTACAGTATAAGAAGGTGCTTTCAAATATTGCCTGTTCATACATGTATAATCCAGAGGAGACAGCTTGACAAGCAGAATTGTAATCTGCACTGAATTTTGGTTGTCTGCAATAAAATGCCTTTCACATGCACAAATAATCAGAAGCGGAAATGGTCATCCGACCCCCTGTCCACACTGGGTCAGTCTTTATCCCTTGTTTGCAATGGTTGGCAACTGCACTGGTGTTGACAACAGTTTAAGTGTCAGTATAAACACAGCTAAACTGTTTTCAGCACTGTGTCAAGAAGCCTGGCCCAGACCAGACTGGAAATGATTTAGTGCCGTCTGCACTAGCGCGTAAATTATTGCCAACACCAATGCAGCCGCACCCATTGCTGACAACAGGAACAGAATAAGGAGCAAGCGGACCCCATATTTGTAGGCCTGATCCTGAGACTTTTAATCAGCAAAACGCTCATAGACGTCATTTGAAGTTTGGCCTGAGTCAGGAGATGGGAATCCAGAGAAGGCATGAACATCATGCGGCCCTTCGTCTGAGCTTTAGTGATGAAAAGCACTGTAGAAGAGCAAGGTATCATTACTACTACTACGAGGATGGGTACTTAACAGTATAAGCCTAGTGTAAAATAAGAATTAAATTAACAGGATAAAACATCTATTGCAGTTTTGTTTCTTCCAGTTTGCTAATACAAATCCAAATTCAACCTTCTTCCCTGCCCAGTGGCATAACCTTCCTCTGTCCTTATTATTTCATTCTTTATTGTATTTATCTATGGTAGTGCTCAAGGATCCCTGTTGGGATCAGGGTCCTAATGTGCTAGGACACAGCAGAAGACAGGATCCTTGCTTTGAAAAGCTTAAAATCTGTTCCTTTGATAAACAGATTCATCTCTACAGCAATCAGTTTAGAAAAAACCTCTTCAGACACCCAAAATGTACCTGTATTGAAAGAAAATAAATCTTGTGCAATGCATCTGGACAAAGATGCATCCATTTGTATTTAACACTGCTTATCTTGTATAGTATGTTCTGTATGAAATTCCAAAACACTTTACAAGGTTAAAAAATACAACTAATATGTAAGTGCAGTGTGTTAATATCCTTATTGTTACTTAACGCTACAGATAATAGTGAGCAGAGGTTGAGAGAACTTTAAAAAGCTTGGCAAGTGAGAAATGAGATTTCAGTGCAACTGAAAACCTAATAGGGGTTGAAGAGGTACAGGAAGACTGTTCTAGATGAATGCAGCTGCAGATCAGAATGCTCTTGAATTTAGATTGCAAAAAGATACAACTGGGAGGCCAGCATTAGAGAGAGAGAGACCAGGTCTGAGGGTAGGTCTACACTTACCCGGTAGTTCGGCGGCGAGCGATCGAACTTCTGGGTTCGACTTATCACGTCTTGTCTGGACGCGATAAGTCGAACCAGGAAGTGCTCGCCGTCGACTGCGGTACTCCAGCTAGACGAGAGGAGTACCGTGGAGTCGACGGGGGAGCCTGCCTGCCACGTGTGGACCGAGGTAAATTCGAACTAAGGTACTTCGAACTTCAGCTACGTTATTCACGTAGCTGAAGTTGCGTACCTTAGTTCGAATTAGGGGGTTAGTGTAGACCTGGCCTTAGAAGCAGGCTGGAGCAAGCTCATGAAGTGCTTTAGAAACAAACAGAAGAAAGCATAAATAGAACTTAATTTAAATGTGTCAACATGACTTGATTTAGCATGAAGGTAAAAGGTAGATAAATTAATAGAGCACTGAGAATGGAGTGGGTAGGTAGGAGAAAAGCAGATGGCCAGGAATTTAACCCTGTGGGACTCCATAGGAGGACCACCAGAATCATGTTCTAAGGAAACCAGAGAAGCCTGTGTAGCTATGCCGGCCTGACACAATGAAGTCCCGCACAGTGTCAAAAGCTGCATTGAGGTCAAGGAGAATGAAGAAGAAGGAAAAGTTGGCTGTGGCTGCATGGGAGAAAGAAGTTCCTCATTCAACCAAAGTGGAATTCACACTGCATTTTTCCAAGCATTATGATGTGTGCGCCATGTGCCTGAAGAGATGAGAGGAGGCTACTTATATCTACCCCCCTGCTTGTCGTTTTTTGGTCTACCTCTTTTCCATTTCTCAGATACGTTTAACCATAACTGCTGCCTTGAACAAAGCTGTGTTTAAAAAAATAATAAATAAAAGCATAAACTTGAAGAAAAACTATTAAAGAAATACCAAAGTCCATAGAATTTCCATAGGCCCTGCAATATACATGATTGTTGAAGGCAAGGATGTAAAATTCTTGTCCAACACCATGTCATTAATTGGAAGAATTTGGTATGGCTCCCTAATCAGTGTCTCAGGAATGAACAATGAGCAGTCCATTTGTACTAGAGCTGACTTTTTAAAAACTCCACAGATTTTCTCTAATAATTTTTTTTTAAATTTTATACAATGATACTTCTCTGAGGACACATTTTTTCTTTCATTATACTTTTTCATAAGTTTCTGCCCCCTACACCCCTGAAGTCATGTAGAGACTCTCCATGTTCCATAGGAAAGCAATTACCAGTCTGATAGTTCAGTGGTTTTGGTGTTCTATTGCTTATCACATTTTTGCCCTTTAGGTGCCAACCTGGATTCACTGGAGCAAGATGTACTGACACTCTGCCCATGAAAATCCAAAACCCAGAAAGTATGTTAAAATAATCTGAACTTTGCTTTCTCCCCAACTACAGCAACACAATCACTATTACTTGGTGTTTTCACAGTTCAGCTGGAATTGGCATCCTTTGATTCTGATTATAGCTTGATTCTCTTAATCTTTAATCTGTACACCATGGCATTATCAGCATCAAAAATGTTACTAGTTTGTTTGACTTTTTTTTTAACTGGATCCTTTTCATCCTCTGCAGAATTTTGTTGTTGTTGTTTCACTCTGCCAACTTTCTTGGTTGGTGAAATGCTGTAAATTGTTATCCTACAGGAATATGTAGACTGAGATGAATGTTGTACAGATTTCATTTCCTAGCTGCCTTGCAAACACTACTTTACAAAAGCGATTTGGAAATTTGGAATGGTGAATTTCTTGCATCCTGAAATATACTGTGATCTGGATTGGTTTGGGGCTTCTGCAAAGCAAGTGGGCTGCTCTCAACATCTTGAGCCATTTTGACACGCTAAACCAAGATTCAGTTTCTGAAGGTGAACTCACCAAGTCAAATCAGTTCACACTGAAGGAGCTTCTTTCTTAGTGTATATTCACCTCTTCTCTTTTCTCTGTTTTCTCTACCATTTTTTTGTTTTTCCTCTCAGGTGCCCAAATGAATTTACTGGTGATCGCTGCCAAAACTACGTAATGGCCAGCTTCTACAGTACGTCCACTTCCTTTCTGTCTCTGCCTCAATACGAGCATGCTCAGTCAGTGCTGCTTTTTTGTCGCTGCATCTTTCCTCAGATTTTTTTTTTTTTACCTGTAACTAGATTTATTGCCTTAGGCCTAATATTGATTGCCTCTGCCTGTTGCATGAAAATGATAACAAAAGCAATTGCAGTACTCGGTTGGATTTGTTGGCATTGATGTTTGGGCATTTGAGACGTAGGCGCATTCTGAAATTAATATTGAATGATATCCTACGGAGTTGTAGCTGACAAGAAGTACAAAGATACATTTAAAAGTCTCACTTTTTATTTGCTAAAAGAAATAAATCCCAGCACTAAAACAGCAATCGCTTTATAAAATCTTTATAAAGATAGTAACCTTCTGAATAAAAGGGATATACATAAATTGCCTTGGAAAATAAAAGGTAAAGGCAATTTACATGCTCCAGGTGTATCAAATGAACACACTCAAACAGGAGTGAGGGCTTTTTTCCCTTTATTATTCACACATTTTACATTTCAGTAGGAAGAAAATTACATGAAGAAAGAGAAGGGGGGAAGGGGACATAAATGATGCTGCTTGACATTTCTTATTTATGGGGGACAGGTGGAAAAGATCAAATATTTCAGAGCCAGATTAAATGGCTGAAGAAATGTCTCCTTTGGACACTGTAGGATTGGAGCCTTAGAGACATAGTTTCATAAGCTTCCTCTTGGAGGGTCTTGTTAACTATTAATTATTATTTAATAGTGAGAAAGTGCAAAGTATGTTGCATATTTATTTTGTGCCTTCAGATATAACCAAGTCAGATGTAAAATAGAGGGAAATTGCCTGGGGTTTACATTTTTAATGCACATTCACTATTCATAATTAATTTTTGCTGGCATCCCACTGCATTATGATGTAAAGGCAGTTCTATATGAACTATTTTTGATGGATCACTCACTAGCATTGAAAGAGTTCAGAGACTGCATGATTGCTCAGTTTAGATTTCCATTAGTACACAGGCTAAAAAGCTGTTAGCACACACTGGACATTTTGGAGCCCTAATAGAGACATAGGTCTTCTCTTACATCAGTGGACAAAGAATGTACGTACATCATTCATATTGTCTATCGTGGGAGTTACCCTGGCAAATCCCCAGGACAATGGCAGACGATTCAACTGCATAGCATTCTAGTATTTATTTTATACTGCGTTTTTAAAGGTTGATTAGTGTGAGTTATTTTTAAAATGCCTCTTATATGTATCAACCAAAAAGCTAAAATACCTTTCTAGGCTGTGCAGTGCTTTTGTTACCTGAGTATCAGATTTGTAATTATGAATATGAATTTATTATTTTGAAAGCCAAATGTTCTGTGCTTTTAACAAGTGTTAGAACATTTATTTAAATAAAAGTAGCGCAAAGGCTAAATCACACTTTTCCCAAATTAATTCAAATGGAGACTCAGACATGAACCACAAATTCATTTTTTCCACCCAGAAAACTATATATTTAGGGTTTTTTCTCATTTGTTTTTAATTTTTCTACCTATGCTTGGGATTTTTAAACAAGTCTTTGGGTGCCCAGGCCATGATTTTCAAAAGCACCTAACATCCAGATCCTCAAAACTCCCTGGGGGGATTAGGCACCTACGGATATGGTACGTCTACACTGCAAAAAAAAAACCAGAGGCCGCGAGTCTCAGAGCTCAGGTCAACTGACTCAGGCTTGTGGGTCTTGTGCTCCAGAGCTGAAAATAGCAATGTTTCCTTCCCACTCGGGCTGGAGCTCTGAAATCCGGCAATGGGGGAGGGTCTCTGAGCCCTGAGCACAAACATCTACACTGCAATTTTTAGCCCCCACAGCACGACCCCAAGTTAATTCACCCGGACTCTGAGACTCACTGTTGTGGGGCTTTTTTGCTGTGCAGACATACTCCGAGGGACTGAGGAGCACAAGCCTTTTAGAAGTCAATGGAACACCTGTCTTTAAATCACTGAGGTATTTTTGACAACCCCATTGAAATTCAGTGGGTGTAGAGCACCTATCTACCTACCTTGGACTACTTTGAAAATCCAGCCTATTCTATTTTATTCTAGCATTTTCTATATACAATAGATCTGAAGCATAAAGTGGCATTTCTTAAGATGCTACAAATCTTAAAATGACACTTCTGGAAGGAGTCCAGGGAGAGCACATTTCAATGTAACCAGAAAAATCAATAAAGAAGCATTTCTATGACTTTTGTTTTACAGCCAAGCATAGGTCAAGCCATACAATTAAAAAGAGAACGTTGCCTGATCCGAAGAATCATTCTAACATTATATCTGGGCTGAAAGGCAAGAGCTTATGCTGTACCCCACATACTGAGCAATTGATTTAATTAAGTTTAGTCAGGTAAGCTCATAGAGCAAATCAGATGTTAAACAAAGCAAGCACCAATAGAAAAAGAAAAAAAAATGGGAGCTAGATTGCACCATCCAGTTTCATGCAGAACTCCTCATTGATTTCAAGAGGCACGTTTGCTTTGAAGCGGATGGTTCAACGTGGCTCCATACAAAGACCCTTGGATTAGCTATTAAAATCCTAATGTCATTTTTCTGTCGTTAATATTCAGCTTAAAGAGTGGGATATTTAAAAGCATTGGCCTCGTTCTGCTGCTGCTGCAGTCAGTGGGAGTTCGACAGTCAGTGGGAGCAGAGCGAAGCCAGTGCTGAGTGCTTTTGAAAATCCCATCTTAAGTGTACACCGCATACCCCAATGAGAGGTTGTGTAGGTAAGGAGCCCTGGATTTGACCCAGCATATGCAGGTGTTCAAACAAAAATATATCTCTGTAAGAATATTGTACTCCTCATACTGCGCTGAGGTATTTTTCATAGGTATCTTAGTTAAGGCAACTTCCCTCATATAAATAGTTTTTCCTTCCTTTAAGTAGAGGGGAAAACATTGTAGAAGCATTTTACACCACAGAGATTGGCAAGGTCATTCGCTTCCAGCTTCATGAGCATGTTCTATCGTGGTTAAAGGGCCTTGCACTGCAACATGACAATTGACAGGTTTCCTGTATTGCAATATTTACCATCAGGATTGCAAGTGGGCAAAATTTCCTGCCATCGTGAGGGAAGGGGAATAAGATGCACAATTTGTTATAAAACTGAGAGTTAATGACTGTTGCATGTGTACTATCTCCCAGATCTGGTTCAAGCAGAGACTGGCTGTTTTTTCTAAAAGATCTGCTCTAGGGATTAGTTTGGAGAAGTTCTGTGGCCAGGAGATCAGAGTAGATGATCACATTGGTCCCTTCTGGACTTGGAATCTATGAACCTGTGAAAAATCTGGGGGTCCCTACAGTATCCTTTAATTGAGTCTCTAGCGGCAAAACCCAAGTACAATCTACTCTCTTCTTCTGCCATGCCAGGTGGGGAGGGGGGTCATTTCTGGAGGTCAGGAGAAGGTCTGAGGGGAACATGTGCAGAACTAGTGTACATATTTTCCCCAGGGATTCAGGTTACATCCACAGTGCCCAGTCAGCATGGAACAGGTAGCTCTAGAGCATAAGCACAGGTAAGCATCTTCTCCTTTTATCCTGTCCCTGGTGGCCTGAGGACCCCATGCCAGGCTGTCAGTTTAATTGTGAGTCTCTCAGTAGATTGTATGGTACGTCTGCGTGGGGGGGTATATATGATTTGTGTGTATGTGTACATATACACACACTCACATAAAATGCATTAGAGTGGCAGAAGGGACTAAATGTGGGAAAGAAACCTGTATTCCTGAAGGCAAGACCTGCAATTCACATCACTTATTAAATTTGGTCAATTTTAGCCTTACCAGGCTTGGTGATCATTTTTTTTCATGGTTGAATAATTTATCGTGAAAATTATGAGACTCTTCTGTCATGTAACCTTGAGATTTGTCTGGCCAATAAATTACAGGGGACGATGGGCAAGGTTTGATTAAGTTCTGACATACTCTAGTGACAGCTCCAGCTCTCACTGGAATTGCTGATGGCTGTACAGTAACTCCCTCCCTTTTCAGTTTTTAAACATAAATTATATTTTAGGTTTTGAAATTTACAGTTGGCAGATTTACTCTAAGCTCATACAAAATTCCAAAATAGATCCCTGGCTACAGATGTATTAGACGTTTCCAGGTAAAATTTTCAAAAGTGGTTAGGTTATGTAGGTGCCTAAGTCCTACAGACATTTCATGGTACTCAGGCTCCTAAGCGATTTAGGCGCATTTGAAAATTTTATCCTTCTCCTCCTCCCAAGATTAAAGTCAAAGGCCGCATTTTTTTTTCAATCTAAATTGCCTAACCAGTGCTCTGGAGAGTATAAAACTATATGTCGTTTATATGATGGGGAGGATCACTCAAAAATGAACATTTATTGTCTTCTCAAGTTTAAATTAGACTTGGGTAACATTTTCAAAAATGCCTTAAGAACATACATTTTCAAAAGCAATTTAGGAGTTTAAGTCCCATTGAGATTCAATGGGACCGAGGCTACTAAGTGCCTATGGCCCAGATTTTTAAAGGTATTTAGGCACCTAACTCCCATGGGAGCTAGAATCCATGGGAGCTAGACACTTAAATACCTATAATAATCTGGCCCTAAGTCACTTTTGAAAATGAGTTTTACCCTCCTAAGTCACTTTTGAAAATTTTACCCTTAAACAATGCGTTTTAAAGTTTGCCCAACATGAAATCACATCCACAATGGTACTTAATTATTTAAAATAATCTTTGTGTTTCTTTTTAAAACACATGGGCAGAAATTCTACAGGAAGCATATTGCATATGGCGAATATGAGACAACAACATGAAATAGGAATGGATACAATGTAATAAACGCTTTATTAAATTAAAAGTTTTGGGGTGCTCTGCTTTCTTTTAATCAAAACAAGAGAATGGAGCTCCGAATAGCAAAGATAAATTAGAGTCTTATGCCGTCTAGGATCAGAATGAGCGCTGCATGTTTCCTCAGCATGGTTTCTTTTTAGGGCTTATGGTCAGAGTATGTTCCTGTTTTAAGGACCAATTTCCACTGAATTATTTGAAAAAGAAGCTGCATGATATGAATGACTTCTGTTCAAATTAAATTAGAGCCAGACTAGCAGTCTTACCTAAAAAATAACATAAATACGGTAATATATATGCATGAGCATGTCACTAATTTTATTGAAGATTCAACCAAGCTTTCTATGCAACTAATGTGTATTGTTAGCAGTGTTCACCTAGGCATGTAGTACCAGCTCCTAAGAAAGAAATCTGGATGGATTCCAATTTAGTTAACCCTTAAAATGTTACTGATAGGCAAGGAAAGAATTGTGCACTTCACTCTCCCCAACCTGGGTAAGCTAATTGAATATCTACTTCCGTAGAAAATTAGGGTCAGGTTCTAAATTTCATAATAAACAAAAACATAGGAAGCGAAAGCTAATCTGGTTTAAGTGTCACCCAATGGGAAGATAAATCTATATTTGTTGGATTTGGATGGATAACTTTGTTATGCAACCCAGTTAGCCAAAGCACAGAGTAGTGAAATCATGAACCCATTGAAGTCCATTGGAATTTTGCCATTGATGTCAATGGAGCTAGGATTTTATCCAGCATTTTTTAGTTCTACAAAGGGAAGTGGGCTCTATCCAGAAGAAAACAATCTCCTCCACCCATGGAAATTACATGGGTCTCCCAGAATACGCAGCCATGGGAAAATCTGCATTCCCCACTGGTGCTGGCTGTGGAATGCCAGATTAGACCATTGATTTTATCAGAGTGACAGCTCCCCCACCCCCACACACAAACATCCTGCTGCAAGACTGGGTTTTTCCTTTGGACGCATGGCCGGCCATCAAGGGAGGATTCTGCAGGGGCTGCATGGCCTAAGAACAATGGGTCAGATCCTCAGCTAGTGTAAATGGGTGTGGAACGCCATTGCAGTCACTGGAGCTGTGCTGATTCAAGGCATCTGAGAAGCTGACGAGGGCCCGTTCTGCTGCAGATATCTGTTCCCATCAAACAAAACAGTAATGGCCAGGATGAAGTTGCCCCTAAATAACAAGAATGGTAGAGTCTCCCACCAGAATCACCGTTTTCAGAAACCAGGGGTAAGCACCCCCTAAATCCTGTCTCCGGCAGGGGTAATTCAGCTCGATGTAAGGACTCCATAGACTATAATTGTCAGTTATTAAAAATAAACTATTTCAAGCGTCAGCCGCTAGCCACATTTCCATTACCTCTCAGTAAGATCTTTAAGGGTTAACTGCTGTGTTCACTGCATTGTGCAAGTGCAAATGCCATATTCCCATTCTGGTGTGTAACACCTTTAAAACAACCGTTATTGACACACGAGCTTACAGACGCTTATCTGAGCACTGCCCCATTAACCACACGCCACTCGTCCTGTTTCAATGTGCAGACACAGAACAGTCGTAATATTCATGTGTAATTTGTTTTTGAGTACGGTGTATTGCTCTTTTCTGAAACTTTTTCCCTTTTCTTTCTTTTTTGTCAACTTTCTGCATTGGCAGAGCATCTTGGGATTGAATTTATGGGTATGAACCAATCATTCCTTTTAGCCTGCAGATTTTAGAGCCTGAGAGATTAAAACCTTTTTTCCCCCCTCCTTCAATTTCTAACCAATTTCTTTATGCTTTAGAAGGGATCATACAGCTATAACAATAACCTTTGTTGACATCCTAGTTGTGCTTAACTCACTAGAATGTTAATTAAAATAGGATACTTTAAATCTCCAGACTTCATATGCATTAGCCTTGAAGTCGCCATACTGGACTTTTCTGCCAGATGGCTTTGAACACTTGTTACATTAGCATTAGTTATGATCTTTTGGTGTGGCTGGGTTTTGGAAATGCCCACTGAATTAATTAAGCAAAGTGGCTAATAGACTGTCTTTAAAAAAAGACAAGAAGATAATGTAGCCACTTAAATTCTGCAACAAAATAAGCAATATTGAGCTCAGTTTTCCAAGTAAAATTGAGTGACTAAATCCATATTTAGGTGCCTAAATCAGCACTTAATTGCCTGCAATAGGTATTTAGATACTTGAGAAAGAGTTTACAAGATACTCAAGTTTACAAAATGGGCTCAGTCTATCCAATAATAAATCCAAACTATGCAAGGGCAAAAGCACTGACAATAGGTACCGTTTTCACTACAGTGCAGTAAATATAAGGATTAGAGCCTGATCTTACCAACCCTTTAAATGAGTAGTCCTTGCTCATATGACTAATGTTTTGCAGGAGGTGAAACATTTCTTGAACTGGCTGAATTATTAAAATGAAGCTAAATTTGATTTAATTCATTATAATTTGGAATTTCCTAAAGTTCTTTACAAAATATGAACTATACAAATTGTTTTTTTCATTATTTGCAAAAGAGAATTAATTTTGATTACTATTAAAATTGCCTGGATTAAATATAATTAATTCATAGCCACGGAAATAGTGTGTGGAGTGCTCACCATTATAAATTTGAAGAAAAAAAATCAAAGCAAAATATTCTGCAAGGGCCGGATTTTTAAAAGGTATTTAGGTGCCTAACTCTCATTGGCACTTAAATACCTTTACAAGACTGGCACTAGTACTGTGCTGTAGTAGAAGAAACTCTATTACTAAAATAATGTCTGGTGAATTATTTGCTAAAATCCCACGCAGACTCACTTGCAGACTTTAGCTCATATACAAACCTCTATAAGGAAAGAGCTTTTTAAAGCACTTCAGACTTCTACTTGAGATATGAGTCTTTCTTTGAAATTTTCACAAATGGCTGTTACAGCCCAAACTTAAATTAAATCCATATACATTAGTAATTATGAGTAGTTTAGGGCAATTTGTAATTAATGACATACACATATTTCACTATTATGATTTAAGGGTAATGGTGATTTACATTATCCTAGCATTCTTGAGGAAGAACTAACAAACCTATAAAGGATTTTTTAACTGTCAGTAGGAAAAAACATCTGTAAATTCACATTGCACATATATTTATCTAAGGACTTTTCCCAAGGCTGTTTTGAACGTCTTCCACGTTATTTTAAAAAAACACTTCAACACTGTAGTTGTTGTTCTACAAAATATTATTAAATGAATCTGTAAATGTTATACCAATCAAACTGATGAATTTGAAAGACAGGTCAATGTCTCACTGTCACTCCATTCAAGTCAGTGGAGCTACACCAGTTTAACCAGCTGAGGATCTGGCCTGTGTTTGGTAAATCTTCACATGTGTTATTGACCAAGAAAGATCTCTGTTGTCCCATGCCCTCTCTCTGAGTGTGACGCTGAGCACTGGCTTGAATAAGCATGGATCGTGGTTCAGAACATTCACAACTGGTTCATGCAGCTTGTTTTCCCAGCTCTACCTATGCCATTCTGCAGGCTGGCATTGGGGAAACAGGCTTGTGACCTGACCCTTCCCACCCACCCCCTTGGGTGCAGAGACTACAGTTGTGATGGGCCGCTGCTAGTGGGTAGGAAGTCTTTGTGACCTGCATTGCTGTGAAGAGCCAAGCACTGTCTCTCTCTTCCCTTCTGCAGTATTTCATTTGCCTGCCTCTCACGCCATACTCCATTTAAATTATGTCAAGAGAAGCAGGTTACACAGATCACAACGGCTGCAGAATGCAAAGCCTGGAGTGTTAAGAGTTTGCTCTCATAAAGCTCACATGGGAGAGCTTAGCATGGCCTGTAATATCCAGGACGACATGTGCAGCACTAACATTTCTATACAAACACACACACTCTATCCAATATGCAAACCATGCGCTGGCTCTGGGAGCTGCCAGTTGAACTTCTCTGCGCCCCTGGAGGCCTTTGTGCCCTAGGGGGACTCACTGCTCAGGAGGGGGTAGGTGGCATTCTAAGGATAGGGCAGCACCCCAAGGGGGTTGGTGTTTTGGGGTATAAATTGTGCTTCGAGTTCCATAGGGGTCCCACTAGCAATGGATTCATGAACTCAGTGAATTCCCCAGCTGCCCTGGCAATGGCCTCTCTCCAGTTGATTGCATGCCCTCTTAGCGGAGGTGACTGCAGGCACAAGGAGCAGCCACAGTCCCCTTCCTTCCCTGGCACATATCAGTGCCGTGACGTGTAACATTCTCAAAAGCTGGCTGAATCTAGCCCAGGGATTGCACTGCTCTCTTCCCATGGCTGAGCCCACAGGAGGAGAAAATCTCCCCGTCATAGTGCTTGCCCCACATGCTGCCCTCAAGTGGGAGGAGGGTTGCGGCCTCAGGAGAGGCTGGAGTGCAGCCTGGAGACTGCTCAGAGGCAAAACTGTTTCCCAACCATACGGGTCCCAGGGCATCTGGAGAGGGCACTGGCCCCATCTGTGCTGCTGCCTGGAAGCTCAGCTCACTGGGCTGGACTCCCTTGTTGTAGCTGCAGGCTGTGGCCAAGGTGGATAGAAACCAATCCTGGCCCACCATGTCCTCCCGGCTGCAGGCCATGTGTAGAATATGTGCTCCTGGTTCTCCTAGCTCATGCTTCTTGGCAGCAATGGGGCTCATTGGGGCCTGCCAATAAACGTCTGGGTGGGAATCATGGCAAGGCTTAGCCGTATCGGTCTCAGGATAGGAGAGAGACAAGGTGGGGGAGGTAATATCCTGGACCAGCTTCTGTTGGTGAGAGAGACGAGCTACACAGAGCTCTTCCTCAGGCCTGGGAAGGGTACTCAGAGCGCCACAGCTAACTACACGATCAAACCGGTCATTTACCACAAGTAGTTAGCACATATTCTAAGGGACTATTCCCGGTGAAGTGGCCCAGATCAGAAGGGAAATTAGTTCTCTAAGCAAGAACGCTGTCACTAAACTAAAGGAGCAGCTCTGCTATGAGTGCCCTGGCCATCAGACCCGCTTCTGCTGCAGTCCTTCAGTCTCCTCCACGTTTAAATTTGGGCCTGGTTCTCATTTACCCTTTACACCACTCAGAATCAGGCTCGTAGAACTTGTCTTGTAGTACCCACAACGCATTGTGCTCCACACCCATGAGGAGGCGGTGGACTGTCAGTGCAAAATTCTCTTCATAAACACACACAAACCACCGTGTCCATTTACATGTTGCACATGACAAGACACCACATGACCACCACTGGACACACCAATGTACCTATAACAAGCCTAAACGTCTCTAACACTGTTAGCAAAGCTATCACAGTGCAGAATTTAGTTTCCATTAAATCAGTGTCAATCTGGTGTAACCTCAGTGACGCCTTTGGAGTGAATAGGATTTACACTGATATAACCCTGAGCAGGACTTTTCCAGAGTTATTTAGAATAAAATATATGCTAATGTCTGATAACATGAAACCAGACTTCCAGTTCAAGTCATTTTGAATTTACATTTAATATACTGTATTTAACACCGTTCTCCTGTATGTTGGTTTATTGTGCCCTCACAATACACCATTTGCTTGGCTAACCAATAAGTACTTTCATGGAAGCCTCTAACTAGCCTAGGCTAGGAGTTATGCTGTATGAGAAATCCCTTCGGACTCTGCTTAAACCTTTTTTTCAAGCATTTCTTCACTCTGTTTTTTCTAGTATCAAGCATGCTGTGCCAGGCCTGCAGTTGACTCCTCAACTTATAACCTTGTCTTTCCCTGTATTTCATCTTCTGTCTTTTCCTGTCTGTCATGTTTGTTTTGGGCTTCTTTTTCCCCCTTTTGACTTCCTGTTCTTGGATTTTGAGTTCTTTAATAAATTTTGCAGCATTCTAGTTTTACCACACTGACTTCTTCTTCCCCTCTGTTAATACTCAGTGCTATTAATTTTGTCTGACGGTGTTCATGATCTCTTTACCGGTGTTTTGATTTACAATGAGGTTGGCTTGCAGGAAGTGTTCATTTCATGATAAGGTGCATTGTATCATAGAAACTAAGATACTATTTTTTATTTTGGGAAAACCTCCATTCACACTGAAACTTGCACTCCATGGTTACCTTACACAATTAGTTTCTGCAAGAGTGGCAGGCCTTAAAGGACACACAATATCTGAGCAGCTTTTGTGTACACCCTTGCATAGCCACTGCCATTCTGCGGTGGGCAGTACATACACAGATACAGGGTTATGCCTCAACAATCAACCACAACATTTCTTAAATTACTTAAACAGGTTCTCAGGAAATGATTATTTATTTGTAGGTAATACAAATCTAGGATTGCTACCTAGATGTCAACTAAATTCTCTGAAGTCCCTTTTCCATTTCTAAATAGTAGCCTAACTGGCCCACCATATGTTATGAGTATGATGTATCTTTATTACCAGGAAGTTCAGTCTCTCAACCAAAACTCCTGAATTGGCCCTTTCACAACGTGAAGAATCAGGACCTTCATGGAGAGGTAAGGCCAATCCCCACATCCAATCTCACATCCCCTGATGCCTCACTTTCCCCCTTTACTCAGATCATATGACATAGAAAGCCACGTGGATCTACTGCCAATCACTATAACATTTAGCCTAGAAATAGACACCAACGCACACATGTTGATTCCTAAAGCCTTTCTGACAACCCTCACCTTCTTTCCGAGAGCCTCAGTACCATCAGCTAATTTAAAACTATGCCAAGCCACCTCTATAGGCCACTCAGAGGTATAACCCTTCCAGGGACAACCAGTTCCCAATGGCAGGAAATTTCTTCCAAATTCCTTCACTGGGTACCAGAGGCAGCTCACGGCATACCAAAGCATGTTGCTAATCCTTTGCTTTAGCCATGTCATAACCAAAGGATATGCTGGGGGAGTTCTTCACTGTCTCACGCTGCCTGCAACTCTGTTGACATTGGTGGGTTTGCAAGGGACATAAGTCAGTGAAGCATTTAGCTCCTGGGTTTAAAGAGACACTAAGGGAGACCAGCATTGCCACAAACCTGTATGAAGGGATCAGAGGGCAGGTCAGTGTTAGGTCAACAGTAAGTTGCTGTGCCTAGCAGTGACTTTCCATGCCCCTAGGTTACTCCTGTGAGGTCAGCGGCAGACTGACAGATCAAGGGCACACCAATTAGAACTGCCCCCTAGGAAACAGGCCAGCAGATTTCAAATCCCATATCCATTCCACCAGGGCTCACTGCATTTCTTTTTGTTTGTAAATCTCTCTTATGGCTGTTTCCCTGTTGATGTCAAGATGATGCTTTGCCAGGTTTAAGGCCAAGTTCCTACTAGCGTCACATCACTGTTAGGGCCACTTTTCTCGATTGCTGTGGGGAATTTTGACTAATTCCGGGGCCAAATTTTTTAAAAAGCCCAACCTTGGTGACCATTTCAGTCCCAAAGAGAGGGAAACAGGCCAGATTCACAATGTCGTGTCTTGAGTCAACCCTCAGTTGGGCCCAGATCCGCTCAGTGGGAGTTAGGCACTTAAATGACTATGAGGATCTGGGCCTATGTGTCTCCAGTTGAAAGTTCTAAGCATAACATTTCCCTGCTGCAACATACAATTGATGCTTTCGCCAAGTGTGACCGATGACGGAATGTGAAGGCTGAGCCAATCCAAACATGGCTAGTGCTAATGATTTCTTTAGCGTGGTGAAATATCTGCGAATGAGATCAGTGAAGTAGAACAGGTTTTGTTCAGCGGGCAAGGCTACTCTCTAGCTAGGATCATTCCTTTAGTACAAATCTGGATATGTAAGTAATCACACGGTGTTTCTTTGATACAGTGCACCACTAATAATTGCTACAGCCATATTTTGGGGAGATGGGCTCAACTGCTGAGCATTATTAGGGACCTCTGACCATTTGTCTCATTTTCATTGGTGATACAAATTCAAGCCAACCTCATGTTACGAATGTCAAAAGATACTCTGAAATTTCTCCTGTAAAGACCACTGAGATATAAATTTGATTTGGGGAGGGGGTGTTGGGGGAAGGGGCGACATTGAATGTTAAAACAAAATAAGAGAAGAAGAAACAAGCTAAATTTGTTATCTGGGACTTGGAAATAACCTTTATTCCAGCTGTCTTTGCAAGAGCAAAACATCCAAAGCATTTTCAAATCACATTATTACCTTAGTGCATTGTGTTTTTATTTTCAGCAAATGCTGATATTTTGTCAATTTTAAAAGTCATATTTTGGATATTGTTTTAGTTAACAATATAAGTATCTTTTTTTATTTTACTTGTTATGTTTTTTGGCACCCACTAGCCGCTGATATTGTGTTAAGAGATTAAGTTCTGATCCTGCAGTAGAGTTTTGCCCAAAGTGCGCGGTGATCATGGGTTTGTGTTACTGTGTGATCCTGTGTGGTGGTATGTAGCATGTCCACTGTCATCTGCTTGAATCGTCAGCCTGCATCTTGTAATCTTCTCTGTTTTTGTCCCTTTCTAGAAGCAGAGGAACTATACCAGAAAAGGGTCTTGACCATAACTGGCATCTGCATTGCCCTCCTTGTAGTTGGCATCATGTGTGTTGTGGCCTACTGCAAAACCAAGTAAACTTTTCTCTTCCTTTTTATCTCTGTGATTATCCCTAAGGGCTTTATACCGCAAACCCGCACAGCTGAACGGAATGCTTACTGCCCATGAGTAGTCCCATTGGACAGTTGTGGGTGATAGTCAGTGCCTGATTGAAACCTGCCAGAGGCTTGCACTGTTGATTCACACCATTCCTATGTGATGGCCATGTATGTAAGCATGATGATTTCATCATGCAAAGTCAATCTGTGTTTATCTAAATTCGAATGTAAGTGACAAAACTGGAATTAAATACTGGCAGATACAAATCTCACTCAATAGCAGGTGAAAGTATAATACTAATTTTATTGTGATATTAGAAGTACAATTATATATAATTATATTTCTAATATCACACCTTGGATGATATCAAAGGGCTTTGCAAACATTAATTTATTAACTAATCCTCCCAATTAGAATGTGAGTCAAACTAACTTTACTGATCTGTTCATTCCTTTTTTGTCACATGTTCATAATTCCCATGGGAATCATGATGGGACAACAGACCCCAGCTTTATAATAATGTGGGTTTTGGGAACTAGAAGTAAAAAGATCAGACTAGTTTGTAAGTATTTGAGGACAAGATCAGTGGCAGTAGGAACTTGGAAATCCAAAAAACTAAAGGATTGAATTTGACATTGTTGTAAATATAGACATGTGCTGTTAAATTCTGTAATGTCTCTGTAAATTATGAGGCTAATGTAAAAAATGTAGGAGCAAGGCCCAGTGAAAGTCAATAGGACTTGTGCTGTCAAATTCTTTTGCTGCTTTTATAAAACTCTTCTAATTGTACCTACCAAAAACCAAAATAAAGTATTGTACATCTACCACATTTGCACAAAGCAGATGTTCCATTAGATTTACTGTTCTAGGACTTGATCCAAAGCTCACTGAAACCAGTGGGGTTTGGATCAGGCTTCTAACCTACAACTTTTTAAATATACACATCCTAAAGTACCTCTCTAGGATTCACCTAAAGCAGGCTGGAATCCAAACCAGCCCTTGATAATCAGGAGGGGCAGGAGATATCGGGAATTGCTGTCAGCGGCCTGTGAAATATTTTTAAAGCACTTTATGCGTGTGAAAAGGGGTCTGATAGGTTAAACCCTCAAAATATGGCATTTGGGAGATGTGCTCCCTCCTCCCCCCTCCTATCTTTAGGAAAACCCCGCGTGGGTTTGAAAAGAATACGTAAAAAAAAAGAAAGATTTAGAAATGCGTGGGCATCTTTGCAAATGACACTGCTGATGGAGTGTGAAGATGACATCTAACAGTGAATCTTTAATTCCAAAGTGTTGTATCTGCACAGCAATTAAATTAATGAAGAGACGTCGCAGAACGAAGGATGTGCACATTAGGATTCCCATTACTCTTTCCTCTCAGCTTTCTTTTGCAATTTCTTTTTAGTTAATGTCCTTTAAATGCAAGAAGAATGACACATTTGCATTATTACTGAAAGTGAAAAGTAGCATAGACTCATAGGGACATATTCCCACATGGTGCAAATTGGCAGAATTCCATTGACTTCAGTGGAGCTATGCCATTTATACCAGCTAAGAATCTGACCCATAAATTATGAATCTAAGCCTGTTTAGGACCCACCTACACTACAAATACAGCTGAGTCAGGGATCCTAGTTACCACACAGCTATCCACTAATATGGTTCCAGGTTCTAGCGTAGATGTGACCTGAATCATGTTCCCTAACTTGCCTTAAGTCTTGTGCATTGGAACTGTGTAGTAATCATATCTCCTGACTCTGCTGTATTTGTAGTGCACTCAGGCGACTCTGCTGTATTTGTAGTGCACCCAGGCAACCTATGCCACATCTTGGCCTCACTGGTGCAGGAGGAGTGGAAATCAATGGTTTTCAACCTGTGGTCTGCGGTCCCCTATGTCTAAGATTTCCAAAGGGGTCTGCACGTCCGTTGGAAATTTTTTAGGGGTCCGCAAATGACAAAAAGGTTGAAAACCACTGCACTAAATTATAACAAAAACTAAAATGTGCCTCCAGTAATTCATGCAAAAATTATAAAATGCACTGTATTGAGTCATTCGTTCTTTGCATTCAAGCTTCCTTGAGCTTTTAAGAAGCTTCAGCTTCTTGTTTTCCTTTTTTGGCAAGCCTGGAAAATCCTCCCTTGAGTTCTGAAAAGGGTTGAAAATAACATGGTTATATCCTGCAGTCTCTTATCCTGCTAAAATAGCTACACTTCTGAAGACAGCTTTGGGTCCTATAGGTACTATAGGCAAGACCCTATATACTCTGCAGTAAACTGGACCTGAATTTTACACTCGATTCCCTGGGTTCTGCAGCACTATTGCGGAAATTCTGCAGTACCTTCAAACAAATCTGGAGGATATTTTTAAATTAAGTATGAAATTGAATAACATAGTTGTAATACTGTAGTCCTGATACATTTTATACTGCAGTTTCAGTCTTTGGTGTGCTATAGATTTTGGTACTGGCAGCTTGTTTTAAGCCCATACAAGGGTTCATAGAAGGTTTAGCAGCTGAGCAGGGGACATCGAGGTTGTGGTCTAAGAAGAGGAGTCCGAGGCATTTTGAGATTGTGGCAGAAACACAATAGTTGGGTGTTTTTGTCAAAATAGCAGTGAACCTATTAACAGTGTTGACATCAATGTGACAATCACATAGGTTTCAGAGTTAACATGCCATTTACATGAATGAGGCAGTTCACAGAGCTGTCAAGGTGTCTGCACACTTTGGCCAACCTCACTTCATCAGTTAATATTTTCAAGATTTCCTCTGCAACCATAAAGACACTAAATATATTTTTACATGAAAGCTTGAATTGTAGAGCACAGTTCTGTGGTAGGGGGGAAAATTCCATGGCAAATTCTGTAGATGCACTGTCACAGAACACACAGTATGAAATATTGGGCTACCTCCTGTCTTGACTGAGAAAAGTCATCATAGTAACACATTGCTAGCTGCAAGGCTGGCAGAAGAGGTACAGGCCTGGAGGACTCCTGGTGAGCAGCCCCTGCAAGATGCATGTGGCTACTCTTCTGAGCAGGGTGGTATTTGCACAGGATCTGCTGCTGCTGCCAGTGCAAAGCATTAGCTGTTGTTTGTAACATAGGTGCTCCCTGATTCGGATCCTAGACCCAGAGGACCAATGTGTTACAGATGAATCATTTCCAGCATGTCCATCCAGCCCATGCTATTAAGTACATAAGCAGTCTGCATGATACCAGATTGCATTTACATGCACAAGCAAAGGCAGAAGCATGTCCGCTGTGTTTTGTGCTTTGATTGTGTAGTGATGAGGAATGGCAGCTCAGTACAGTAGAAGGAAACCAAGCTATATATAAGTCAGTGGACTGTCAGATCCAGAATGTCACCTAGAATCATAGAATATCAGGGTTGGAAGGGACCTCAGGAGGTCATCTAGTCCAACCCCCTGCTCAAAGCAGGACCAATTCCCAACTAATTCCCAACCTAGTCAATCTGATCTTCAGAGGAGAACTGCTTCTGAAATGGAGTAAGTTTTGGAAGTGGATCTCCTCCTCTCCCACCTTTCCCTGGCTTCTGCAACTCCCTTCACTCCCACACACACGTTCCACAGCTCTGCCAGTGCTTATAACCCTGGTATTAGGAATTGCTCAGAGACCCTCCACAATGGGCAAGGGTTGACAATAAAGTGGTTCTATCATGCTGGATGGTGCAGCTGTCTTTCTTTTGTCTAATAAAACCATTTCCCTCTTTCACACACAGGAAGCAACGGAAAAAGTTGCATGATCGTCTTAGGCAGAGCCTGCGCTCTGAGCAGAACAACATGGTGAACATGGCCAATGGGCCCCACCATCCCAATCCACCGCCCGAAAACGTCCAGCTAGTAAATGTAGGTAGCCACTGCATTTATCTGAGGGCTTTTCAACTGCTAGCTGCTAAAAATTAATGATCAGGGTTTCCAGGAATTGGGATTTCTCCACCAAGAAATGATTAGAAACTTTTCAAGGAATGATTCTAATGTACAGTAAATTCAGAGCATTTTCATGTACAGCCATTTCAGAAGAACATTGGATATCAGTCACTAGATTGCTCTGGATCGGAGGCTGAGATGTTAGAATACCAGCCTTAGCAGAAGAAACTCAGAGCTCATAGCCACAGTACTTTGAGGAAGCATGTCTTTGGAGATGTTTCTCTACAAATAATGTATCAAGTGGATATTTAATCTTGCTAGTGTGGACTAGCCTAATTGCCAGTTGGTAGATCGCGATGCTTTTTGTTTTGTAGTCACCAGGTTACGAACAAACCCATTTTCTTGTTCTTCAAGCCACCAAAGGCTGGTGAATGTTGCAGGGGTAATGCTCACCCAGGGGCCAAAATGAATATCTGAACAAAATGTGTGTGTGCAGATGTGCTGTATGTTCCCCTGTGTAAACCTGAGATACCTCTGTTTCTTCAGCAGTATGTATCTAAAAATGTAATATCCAGTGAACACGTCATTGAGAGAGAGACAGAGACGTCGTTTTCCACAAGTCACTACACCTCGACAACGCATCACTCCACCACTGTCACCCAGACGCCCAGCCATAGGTACCAGAATGAGAAAACAAACCTCCCTGCCTAAGGAGAAACTGGTGTTGGATGTCAGTTCTGCCACCATTGCCTAAAGCAGATGCATAAAAATGCACTGGTCATGGGGTTTTAATCTAAAGATGTATGGTACCTGACATCCTGTCACTGAAACTAATTATCTTCCTGGGAGCTTACCAAGAGCCCTAATGATTGTGTGGAGTTCCATTACTGGTACTGTGAATTTTAATATACACAAATTGTTGAATTGGGGAGATACTGTGTGTTGTTGGAGATACTGTGAGATCACATAGTATGGCTCTGGCTCGGGTTCTCAAACTTCATTGCAGCGTGACTCCCCCCCCCCCCTTCTGATAACAAAAATTACTACACAACCCCAGGAGGGAGGACCAAAGCCTGAGCCCAACCGAGCCCTGCTGCCCCAGCCCAAGGGGACCTGTAGCCTGACCCCCACCGCCCAGGCTGAAGCCAAAGCCTGAATCCCACCACTCACGGTCCCCAGCAAGTCCAACACCAGCCCTAGTGACCCCATTAAAACAGGTCCCTCTGGGGTCCCAATCCAGAGTTTGAGAAGCCCTGCTAATGACTGGAAAACTCTTTTCCACCCCTAACTTAACCACCCACTGATAGTCACAAAAATAAAACCATCTTGTCATTTGTAGGATGGCAGAATTCACACCAACTAGGGTCTTCGATTGCCATAAACCGGTATGGAGTTTAACAGGCATATCCCGAGCTGCATGTAGCCCTTGCTCTCCCATTGTTAAACTTCAGTTAGTTTGCTTTCTCCCGTTCTGAATTTAAAATAAAAGCACTTTCTCTCCTCTTTTCCCCCTCCCCTCCATCAGCTGGAGTAACGGTCGGACGGACAGCATTATCTCGGAAAGCCACTCGGTGCTTGTGAGTTCTTCCGTAGAGACCAGCAGGCACGCGAGCCCAGCAGGACCCAGAGGACGCCTCAGCGGCATAGGAGGTCCACGAGATTGCAACAGCTTCCTGAGGCATGCAAGAGAGACCCCTGACTCCTACCGAGATTCGCCTCACAGCGAAAGGTACTACAAGAAATTCATTTTGCTCCCTCTAACTGCCAGGGCAAGGTGGGCTTGAAGAGATTCAGAGTGAGTCCTCGTGCCTGAGGACCAGAGATAAAATTCTGTTTCTTTAGGAAATGCTCCTCCTCCTTCATAAATGTGCCGAGCAGTGCCCCATTAATCTCTCAAATACGTTTCTTCCCTTCCTTCCTCCTCTGGTCCTGGCTCATGGCTACTGGGCAGTAGCTCACATATGGACATTTGCCAGAGGTTTCCACTGCATATGAAGCTAGGAAAGGAGATCAAAGGGGAACCTTTTGCTTAGTTCTGTTTCTCGGTTGCTTCCTGCATCCAAGTAAGGCAGCCTATGGAGTTTATCAGAGACAAAAGAGGAAGATAAAGAGGATTGATTGATCCGCTGGGGGAGAGATTTTTCAAAAGCACCTATGGACCTTAGGAGCACAAGCCCCTTTGTCTTTCAGTGGGATTTCTGCTCCTACACCCTTTAAGTGCTTTTGAAAATCCCCTCTCCCCCCCGCAGGTGTGTTTGCAAGTAAAAGCAAGACTAGAACTGAAACTGGGTAGGATGACTGACACTACTGGAGCGTCAGTACAGATAGCAGCAGCCTATGTGCACAGGAGAGAAACAGGCAAAAGGGAAAAATGAACGGATATTTACAATACCTGGGAAGTGCTGTCGTTCTTGTTGTTATTATGGAAGCACAGGAGAGCCCCACTCAGGATCTTTTGTGAGGCACTGCACAGTACAAACATGTACAGAGACAGGGTCCCTGCCTCCAGGAGCTTACAATTGGAAAGGACAAGTGGCATATGAAGGAGTGGGGGAGGGGCATACTGTCAAATACAAACCATTTCTTTATACATTGTTGTGTTTGCAACTTTTAAAAATAATTATAAATACAATAAGGTAGCACCAGTTATCCCCGTCTGCCCTTTAAGCCCTCATTGATGGCCCTAACTTAACGCTGAGTGTGATCATAGAGTTCTGTGGGTTAGGATATAAGAAAAATGAGAACAAAACGTTCCTAGACCAACTCTCTGAGTGTTGTGAATTCACAGGGGGGTTTTAACTGCCTGTCTGTGGTAGCAGCTAAGCGTAATCACAGAAGTTCTTGAGTTGTGCAGGAGACACTTTCATGATTTAAAAAGTAGCATGTGCAAATGACAGCAGAAGGCAAATATCTTGCATTGGTTCTTACAGATATTGAGGAGCTGGTTAAGATAGAGAAGCTTGAATAATAGGCATGAGCTCTATGAATGTAGCATGTAGGAATGCAAAACAGAGCTAATGCTGTGTCATTACTAGCTGGCGAATTATTGTGAAAAAACTGCCTGTAATTTTACTCTGGAATTTAGCTTTCAAGAAATGCAGCGTCTAGCAACTCCCAAATCAGGTAAACAGCTATGGCCCTGATCCAGCAAAGCACTTAAGCACATGCTTAACTTTAATCATGTGAGTAATCCTGTTAATATTGATGGGCTCAATCGAGTATAAAGTTAAGCATGTTGTGATTGGTTCAACTTACTGCTGTGGTGCCTCCTGCTGGCCGTCCTGGGAATTAGCTTGGGGTTGCCAGTGCACCCTCCTCAGGTGGTGTCTTGCCCGTCGTCACTCCTGTCTCCGCATCCAGGACCCGCGTCGCTCCCTGACCACATCGTCCTCTTCCAGTCGGTTCTTTCCTCCCTTCCGGGGGACCGACAGACCTCAATCCAACCTGCCTCAGTGGCAGTCTGCAGTCCATGTACTGGCCACTTCGCTAAGTGGCCAGTGGAAGAAAGAGGGAGGAGCCTGGGCCTGCCCGCTGACCCAGGGACCCTATAGCTGGCAGCCACGTACTGCCCCTGCTCCAACTCCGCCATCTCCTTCCCTGGGATGCTTCCCCACAGCCCCAGCACCTCCTCTGCCCTTGTATCAGGGCCTCAGTCTGGCAGCCGTCACCCTGGAGCTTCTCCTACTCTGCTGTCCCTGCCCAGCACTGCTCTGTCCATGCTGCTCCAGCCTTCTAAGCAGCCAGTCTTCCTCCCTCAAACTCCAGGGAGTGACTGCCCCCTCCTCTGCTCAGCA